TGGCTTTCTGTTGTTCTGTTGTGACAAACTTATCAGATAAGACCCTAAGTATGTATTATATATAAGGTGTGTTAAGGTGTTACGCTTAGCTATTGTAGTGCGCAAAGGAGTGTCGTTTCTATAGGTTATTTGTTTGGTCATGTGGAACAGGCCACAATGGCTTGATTTTATGGATGCTGTCCTCTGAAGAGTTTATCAGAGTTTCTGGTGGTGATGCTGTGGCTGTCTCCAGTTCTCGGTGAAGCATTTCTGGACTCAGGTTTCTGGCGAATTTCAGGCACAAATCTACCCGTCGTTCTTGGAGTGACTTCAGGCCTTTGTTGAGCAGAGTGTGGCGTAGTTGCTCTCCGCTTTCCAATCTCTCGGTTTGTGTTGCAGTAAGGCCAGAGTGCCACACTGGCATAATCTCCAAGCAGATTTTTTGGTGGCAAATTGGCCAGTCTGTATCCATTTCCCCACCCAACTCAGTAGGCGAGAACTCCCACTGAGATGTGCGCGGGTGACTGCATTTGTCCCAGATTCAAGCCATAAACCGCTTGTAAAAATCTTAGCACAACAAATTTTTGATAGCTGTTAATAGGGACACAAGGAGGGGCAGCAACACCATTTTTGAAAAGAAGTGCTCCTCCCTGTTCGAGTGCAGGCAGATCTTGGGTGGGGAAATGGATACAGACTGGCCAATTTGATACTGTCTTACCCCCACCAAAAGATCTGCTTGGAGATTAACACTGGCACACAGTACTCCAGTACTGATCTAACGTAGGTTATGGATAATATTTGAAGTAAGTCCTCAGTGGATAGGTTGAAACTAGCCTGTGTTACACAAGCTCTCTCGGCCGGAGGTCAATGACCCCCACCCAAATTTTAATAATTGGGATTTAGTAAATCGCGCACCTGCCGGCCTTGTGGTAGTGGACAAAAATTAGTCAGGCTAGGTTGAAACGTTTAATTTTGCGTAGCATGGCCATTTCCTACGGCGATGTAGCCATAGTGTTGCCTTTCAGAATGACGTACTGGTCCCTCGGTAGACACCTACCAAAAACATGTTTTCTCTCGCTCTTTACCAAATGTGCACGTAGCGGCCCATCCAAATTTTTCGTTCGCTTCGTCCTTAAACGGTAACAAAATTCGTCACTTACATGAAATTCCGTAGTCCATTCGGACGAGGGAACGAACAATTTTCCCCTTTTTGCCTGACTATCAGAACAATGCTTGCTAATGTTGTTATTCAGTTGCTTGTAGTACTCTAGTTCGGTAAAGAACGTGGGTCCTTCAGAAATTATCTTATTCCACAAGGACCTATTAAAGTGTTCATACAGCATGTAATCCACCTTGTTGAACTCTTCGTGATTACCTCGCTCTTCATCCGAAGGTTTGTAATCTTTGTACGCATAGGACCTCTGTTTCTTAGGTCGGCTATCGTAGAGAATATCCTTTAGTTCCCAACACATCAGCCTTCGTAACAGCACTAGAGATTCGTCGAAGTGTTCTAAGATCATAACCAACGTGAAGTCTCGTTCTATATCCGCAAGAAACCGTTCTGCTTTCCCCTCGTCATCGGCCCACTCTTGTTTGTACCCTAAGTCAAACGCTTGGAAATTTCTCGTCCTTTCAAAAGTGACCTCGCAATGTTTGTAGCCTATCACATATCTGTGCTCAAAGGGGCTTTTGAGAAACAGTTGGATGGGATTTTCGTCTCCAGGTCTCTTCACCTTTCTCTGAAGCAGCTTTCCACTGAGATGGTAATAATTAAAAACTGACTTAAGATGACCAAATGGTTCTCTAATTACAGTTATGTTAAGCGGTGTCGGAAGGAACATAGACTCCATCCAAGTTTGTGTATCTCGTGTGGTGAACGATAGCACTGTATTTTCCGTCTTAGACTGTAGGT